TAGGAAGAAGAGGGACATCCCTCCCCCACTGCCCCACGCTTATCTGTCTTTAGGAATCAGGTAAAGTGTGTGGCTGCCCCTCCCGTAAAGAGAAGAAATGATTAGGATGCAGCTTTTTGGTGCTTTTCCACCTATAGCCAGGAAATGTTCTTATACCCCGAGAATGTCTGCAAATTCTAGCCCCAGATGCCGACTCAAAAACAAAACTGAACAAAACATTTGCAGTTTCTTCTCTGATTGCTTTAAAAATATATACTTGTTAAAAATAACTTAAAACACTACAGAAAAGTAGAAGTGACCTTTCCATATAATGTCATGCCTGTCCTTTGGAAGATGATTTTAATGGAAGGAGTCAGAGAACCTTGGCTTGGAATCTGAGCTTCCCCAATTCAGTGCCTTCAGCTCTCACACGCGGGGGAAAGTCCCATGGAGGGCCACCGTGAGTGTTACGGCAGATATTTGCTGCAGTTATGTCCTTGGCTGTCCCTGGTCCTTTGTGGGCTCAAAACGTTTCTTTGTCCCCACTCCTGCCCCCGCCCCCCTTCTGATTTTCTAAGAATCCAGACACAGGAGAGTAAAGTGCCTGAAAAAGCCCTGTCCATTCCCCTTCTGTTGCTGGCGGCACAGCTGAGCTGCTGTCCCTCCCAGCCCTGTGAGGTTCCTCCGGTTTCCCTGCCCTCTCACTTGCTAGAGCTGGCCTGCTCTGGCTGTCCTGCCTGGGTTAGGTGAGGACACGGAGCAGCGGGCGTCCAGCCTGGAGAGACTACAGTGTCCCAAGGCGTGGGCCCGCCTCTGGCCTCCAGGCGTGTCCTCCTGAGGGCTTTAGAGAAAGTCTGGCTAGGCTCAGAGAAAATGCAAGCTGCTTCTTGCAGACGTCTGAAGGTTCCCATGACACAGACCTTATTCACCTTTAGCTCGTTTACCTGCTCTGTAAGCACAGCCTGAGTTTACTTGGCACTTAGAATGAACTGAAAGATAACACTTTCTTATTCTTGGTTGGAAAATGCAGAGAAAGGAGACCCCCTTTTAATTTCTGGAAGCACAGGGAATTTGTTTTTGCTTCAGGTGCATTTTTGGCTCCTGAGAAATCATTGTGGCTAGCTTTCACTTTCAGGTACCCAAGCTCCTGGGTGGTAGTAATGGTAGTTGAGATTTACTGAGCAGTTGTTTTCTGTGTGGGAGGTAACTGCTGTGCATTTTGCATGGATTATCTCATTTTATCCTCCCAACAGCCTTATAAAGTGAGAGTGGTTGTTAATTTCTGAGGAGGAAGGTGAAGCTTAGAAATGCTAACTAACCCTCTTGGAATACACTGTAAGCCTCAAGGCAGGATGTGAATATGCTATTGAGATTCCAGAAGCTGTGCTCCCAGGGAGGGGGCATCTGCCCCACACAGTCCTTCATACTTTTCTCTGCCCTCTACAAATCGATGATTGAGTGTTGTCTGTTTTTCCTTTGCAATCTTTTGCCATTTCTTCAATAAAAACGATCTCCATCATTGGGGACCAAGCACAGTGACTGACACATGTAGGTTTGCAGTAAACATCCATTGGATGGGTACCCAGCAAGAACATTAATTGAGCACCTCCTAGCTGCCAAACAGTTGGAGTGTTGGGTTCTGGGAGATAGATACTTTAAGGGTATGTAGTTACTGTCCTCAAGCTGCTCACAACTTTGTATGGAGAAGGCTCAGGGGGACATGCAAAGCTCAGCATAGTTCGGTGTGGGGCTGGGGATATGGAGAAATGGAAGCTGCATGCTTTTAGAACATCCCGCCTCTGCATATTGGGTTGCAGTGCCGAGTGAGTGGCACGGAGGAAATGATGGATTTGGGATTTAAAATCAATAATGTCATTATTGCTAAAAGGAGTACTGGGGAGGGGACAGCAGTGGATTTAGCTGTGAGTCACAAGGGGATGATGAGAGGATTGGAGGAGGGGAAGGGCTTTGCAGGATGAGTAGAAGTTCACCAAGGGGGTGAGGGGGTGAACGGATGGCAGGACAGCAGGAGAGGCCCAGAACAGGGTCCGTGCATGACACATCCAGTGTGTCCAGAGAGCAGGGGTGGTCATAGCTGAAGCTGAGAGGTTAAGAGCTCGCACTGTGGGACATCAATCCCAGTTCATCTTATTACCACCTGTGTGACTGGTGCTGCGGTTTTGTCACTTGTAACACCGGGATGGGACCGGTGCCTACCTGGTAGGGGTGTTGAGAGCTTGAGCAGCACTAAAATTCTTGATGTGCAATGGCTTCAACCAGAAATGAGCTCCATGAATGTAAGTTACCTGTGGGCGTTACCTTTGGCCTGATCTTTTCTTTCTTTTCCATTTCCTGTAAGTCACTCTGCATTTCCACAACTTAGAATAGGTTCCTTTCTTTTTTTTCTTTTCCTCTGAGACAAAGGGAAGTTCCCAGTTCCGCTACTTCCTCATTTGTTGACCTCAGACAAGGCACCCTGGGAAGCCTTGACTATTCATCTGCACAGACTTCTGGTAAGTATTTCCAGAGGGTGAGCGGGGATGTAGAGAGACCCCCTGGGAGTCAGGAGCCCGGCGGCGTGTGCCTGGCACAGGAAGGCGCTCAGTTATTGCAGGACGTGGCCTTGCCTTCCACTCCCTGCATCAGTCACTCATACTCTCATTTTATCTTAAAGGCCTTATACTGGAAAGAAAGTTCTATTTGCCCCCTGAGCAGCAAACCCTCAGTAAGAGGGTCTTTTCAGGGAGCTCTGTCATGGAGACCCCACCCCAGGGCTACTGAGTAGAATCTCGGTGGGGGGGGGGCTGGGCTTGGAGTCTGCATTGCAACAAGCCCCCCAGGTGGTTCTTGGGCTCACAGGTTTGGGACCCACTGGCCCAGAGGGTAAGGCTGGGGGCATCCTTTTGTGAGACTAGCAGTGGTGAAGGCTCTAGGCACATACGGAGTGAACCACACCCCCAGCAGCAGTGTGTGTGTGTGTGTGTGTGTGTGTGTGTGTGTGTGTGTACTGTGTGTGGCTTGCCTGGCATTCCGTAATGCCACCCGGTTCCCACGGAGCTCTGGCAGATTTTTAATACAGTGAGTTTGAATTTCTGCTGCTTATTTATGTTAGTTTTTCCCTTTTCTCCCCTCCCGCTCCCTCCCCTCTCTTCTCCTCTGTGCCTTCCCTGTCCCTAGGTGATGAGGTGAGGGTAGCATTGCCCGGACATGCTTTCCCTCTCCTGCCCCTTCCAGTGCTGCTGGGATGGGACTGGGTGGGGTTTGCTGCCTGCGGGGGGTGCGGGGGTGGAGGGTGGGGGGATGGGATGGGGTGGGGGCGGGGAGGGCATAGTGAGAGAGTCAGGGCCAGGCTCCCTGCCCCCTCCCGGAGCACTTACTAGAGTGTTAGGCAGCTCCTGTCCTCCAGGGTGCATTCGGATGGCCTTGCGCCCGGGTCTGTGCTCTGTCCTTCCTCCTGCCCCCACCCCCAATTCAGATTTACCTAGAGTCCTGTGAGCAAGGGAGGGCACTGCCAGAGTGTACTTAGCGAGATGTGTCTGCATGACTTGAAGTAAAGACCTGTTTCCGTGAAAGTCAGAAGTGCATTCCGAAGTCAGGAGCATGACCTCCCCGGAAGCCCGGCTAATCCAGGTTTTAAAGAGGAGTAGGAACAAAAGCAGCGATTATGGGATGTGTGGAGCAGTGGGATGTGGGAAAGGGCAGGTTCAGTAGGGCTGTGTGATGGAAAGTTCCAGCACCCCAGCCCTTGAGAGCTTGGGTGCTCAGAGTACTTGGGACGTGCCCAGATCCTAAAGGATGCAGGGTGTGCTGTGATGATGGACCCTGAGGGGACTTGCAGAATGATGGTCCTGGGTTCAAATCCACTCTTGTCAGCTGCACAGGCTGGGCAGGGTGCCTGCCCTCCTCAAGCTGCCCTTCCTGTAATTTGGGGATATGAAACCTGTCTATGGGGTTATGAGGATAAATGAGGATTAAATGGGAAATTAAAAGGGGGCTTCTTCTGTCACTGGTGATTAACAGATACTATTTCCTCCACACTTCTTATTTTGAGGATCACCTTATATTCCCACCCCAGCCATTGTTTGGGGTCACATTTTGGCTTAGTCCTTAAGTGGACTATTTCTCACAGCCCTGTTTCTTTAATGAGATTTTAAGCTTTTTGAAGGCAAGAACCTCTTGAGTTTTCATCAAAGTCACTGAATTCCCTTGAACATGCACACCCAAGAACTTCTGAATCTTCAGGGTAGGTCCTACTCTCTGTAAAGAACTGTCTCCTTGAGTCACTGATGGCTTAGTTCCTTGGCACTTTGCCCCTTTGTTCAGGGGAATTTGACTGACATTGGGCCTTTGCTGACCTTTTCCCAAGGGGTTTTGTGGGCATAGGCAAACAAATAGACCTAAAAAAAAAATCGAACCTTTGAAGGTTTGTCATTTGTAGAAGAAAAGTGTTCATGATGACTTTTGTCAGCCATTTCAGTATTTTAATCACCTTCAAGCTTAAAGATGAAGGTATGTAGAGGTCAGCACTGATAGCATGGGTCTTTTCTTGAGGACCCACTCAAGGAAGGACTTTACATGGGTTCTCTCTAACCTTCCCCCTAACTCTGCAAGGCAGGACCCACTTTGCAGATATGGGTGCAGAGGCAAACAACTGAAGCTCAAGCCTTCACAGCCTCATAAGTCTTGGAGCTGAGATTCTTATCCAGGTCCCTTTGTCTCTAAAGCTCTGGCCACTGTTTGACAATCACATCCTCCCTCCTTCCCTCCCTTCTCCCCTCCTGCCTGCCTCTCTTTCTCCCTTAAAATTACTATTGTTTTTCATTGCTAGTCCGGTCTAGTTAATTAAAAAGCTGGCTACTCTGCCTTTACAAAAAATTTAAAAATTGGCTGGGCATGGTGGCACACGCCTATAGTCTAGCTACTTGGGAGGCTGAGGTGGGAGGATTGCTTGAACCCAGGAGTGTGAGGTTGCTGTGAGCTATGATGTTGTATCACTGCACTCCAGCCTGGGTGACAGAGCGAGATCCTGTCTCAAAAAAAGAAGGCTGTTGTGAAGTATCCCAAGGGATTCCTTATTAACAGAGTTATATCCCTGTCACTTTTAGGGGGGGGGGTCTCAGTCCTGCTGGGCCTGTGGGACAGTGTGTGCGGAGGACACACGACCTACCTGGATGCCGGTCACAGGTGTCTGTGGGAGCATTTGCCTTCTCACCTGCAAGAAGGTCGGGAGCAGCAGTCAGGGGTCAGTTGTTCTGTGGGGACCCACCTCCCCACTCCCGGAGCCAGTGGGAACGATGTCACAGCTCCAGGCCACAGCTGGACACACTGTCCGCACTGACGAGGAGCCAGTCTGGAGAAGCGCGTCATGGGTGACATGAGGAAATTACTGCGGGAAAAGGAGCAAGACGTGGGACCCGCTGGTGGCCTGTTGGGGCCATTCTGCTCAGTTCTGGCAGTGGATGTTGTTGGTGACTCGGGAGTCTCTGTTCCTTGCCTTTTCTGGCAACTTGCCCTCTCCATCTCTGTCTTCCAGATGCTTCTTATCCTATTGCTTTGCCCCTGTCTTTCCTACCACATGGTTCTTCGAAGGTAAGGCAGACTAGTGGTCAAGCACACTGGCTCCCAGGCAGAGTGCTGGGCTCATGGTCCCACTCCCACTCTCACTCACTGCCTGCATTGCACGGCTTGGGTGCACAGCTTGCTGTTTGCCAGTATTCTCATTGTAAGTGAGTGAATACCTCACAGTGTCATTAGCAATTATGTGAGTACGACCAATGCTCTTGGAATGAGCACTCAGAAGACGTGGTTAATACCTACTCTGCCCGGCTTCTGGTCACGCCACCTTTGGCCAACAATGCCCCAGCACCCACCAAATTCAAGAGAGTTCCTCCCCTGGGCACGGTGTCCCCAGCCCACCCTTTTCATTGAGGTTTGGTTCTCACTCTGCAACTGCAGGTCTTAGCTGGGTGACCATGGGCAAGTCACTTCACTTCTCTGGGCCTTGCTTCTTAGCTGTTCAGCTGACATAGAACCAGGTTACTTGCAGGGTGTCTTGTGTGCTGACATGCTGGGGTCTCTCATGTCCAGTGTGGGTCAGCCTTTCCTTCTCTTCTTCAGCTTCTTCCAGCCCGGCATGGCAACCTGGACATCACCCATGTACTTGTTCATGGACATGCACTGTATGCGTGTTTGCTTCTCTGGATATCTTGGAACCAGATATCCCCACTTCACGAAAGCAGGGATCAAGGCTTTCATATTTGACATTATTTCTGGCTCCTAGCACTGTGCCAGAACTAGCATGTGAGCTCTCAATATGTAGCTGTGCTTAATCTCTCATTATTCAGTCAACATGTACTCAGTACCTGTTGAGTTCCCAAGCATGGTGCAGAACATGCACAGGCTTTAGGAGGCTGGCAGAACCCTGATGTCAGTGTGTCTAAAGCGTGGCTCTAAGCCATGTACTTTGCAAAGCTTAAGCAGGGCCCTGTTGCATAATGCAGGTGAAGGTGCCTGGTGATAGAAGGTTCATTCTGTGTCGGCCGCTTGTCTCCTCCTTGTGTAACTGCCCAGCACCTTGCAGAGGAGATCAAACCCTCAGTAATATCAGTGAGCTGGGCTCGGTTTGGTTTGCATCTCCCAAGCCTAGCTTGTGGGAGTCACAACAGCAGCACTGCACTGTCGAGGGTGACCTTGGCTGTTTGCTTGTGTTGTGAGGCTACTGTGTGCTGAGCACGTTACATATGCAGTGTCTCATCCACAGATGCACTGGAGGACAAGCGTTTTTATTCCTTGTGTTCATTAAACAGATGAGTAGACACTTTCAAGGAGCTAAGGGTATGTGCCCAAGGCCACACGGCCATAAGTGCAGCCTGGGGACTCACACCCTAGTGGATCTGGCTACCTCCAGAATGAGGAGTCAGGTGAGGGCGAGGGGGCAGGAGCTGGAGAGCTTGGGCATTCTGCACCAGCTTGTCCCTGCATTCCAGCAGAACATAGGGACGAAATGAAACGGAGCAAAAATAGAGTCTGTCCTCGAGTGACAGCAGCCGCCTCCTCTGGGAGCAGCTCTCCTTAACTGATCTTCCCAGGCGAGGCAAGCCCCAGCGCTCCAGGTAGCACAGAGAAGTAATGTGCACACGGCCAGGGAAATTGCTGCCTCTCGCTTCCTCAGGAGAACATAAAGGAGACACCTTCTTTGTGATATCAGTTTCAAAGCAATCTTACCTCACAAACCTGAAAGAAAGAGAGATCGAAGCAAGCTAAGATTCCGAGAGCTTTCAAGACTCGATTGCTGCCGCACAGAGCTGCTCGCTCATCTCCGGCAGCCAGGACTGCCAGGTTGCAGAGGTGTGACAGCCCACATCTGCTGACTCTCGCTGGTACTACAATTAACGTGGCTGCTCGCTCTTTCAAGAGACGGAAAGAAAGGGAAACGCACACCCGCGCACACGCACAGAGTCAGGGAGACCTAGAGGCAGACACAGGGTGACACAGCCATGCACGCTGGGGGACGCACTCTGCGCCCCATCACAAATGGTGCTCCTCTCACAACTTGGTGCCAGGGACCGCCTTCCCTCGCTTTCTGTATTCTGCATCTTTGGCCTCATTTACCAGCTGTGCCGACCTGGATGCTTTAGGTCTTCCCATAACCAAAGCGTCCTCTGCCCATTCCGTATTCAGGGGGGCCTGATGTACAAAGATGCTCTCCCAGTGTGGGGCAGGAAATAGAGGTAACCTGTTCTTCATTTTTCTTCCAAATGTTCACTGCAGGGGGCTCAGCTGGTGGAAATACTTGGTAGGGGAGGGTGGAGAAGGAAATGACAAATGTGGGCCTGACTGCCCTGGAGGCAGAGAGGAGAGGGACTCAGAAAGAGAGTGGGGCTGGGGGCCATGTTTTCCTGAGGGGCAATTTCGAGTCACTGGGCCATAGCATGCTTATTTGCAAAGTCTTCCCCTCCCCGTCCTCCGGGGCAGGGTCAGCTGCGAGGCAGTGGGCCGTGAGGATGCAGTGAAACAGGGAAACCCAGAAGCTACTGATTCCCAAGGCTCAAGGGGGTGTTCCGATGTCTCCAACATTCCAGCAAATATACTTTCACAGGAGAGACCTGAAAAATGTGAACTCCCATTTGATAGAAGTAATGTACATAATGAAAAATGCACAAATCATATGCGTATAGATAGCTTGATAAAACGTTTTCCGATTGAATGTGTGCGTGGAGCCAGCACCTGATAAATAGAGCATTTCCAGCATTTCGGAAGCCTCCTCCCAACCCCTTCCAGTTGCTGTCATGGGATAACTTTGTCCTGACTTCTAACCAGATAGATTAGTTTAACCTGTTTATGTACTTAATATAAATATTAATAATATCATAACACACTCCCTGTGTCTGGCTTCTTTCATCCAAGGTTATGTTTGTGAGATGTGTTCATATGTTGTGTGCATGTGTTGACCATTCCTGCTCATTAGGTTGAGTGTGTATTTGAAGAATCCATCCTACCCTTGAGGGGCATTTGAGTAGTTATATTGTGCTGCTGTGACATTCTTAGACATGTCTCTTGGTGAGCATATTCACATGTGCCTTGCATTTAGCCTGAGGAGTGGAATCATAGGATATGTGTATATTCAGCATTAGTGGATTGTGCAAAATGGTTTCCCAAAGTGGTCGTTTGTCCTTCTTCGGAATGTCTGTCCACCAGCACATGTGAGTTTTGGTTCCACATTGAAGCTCATCCTTGGCATTGTCTTTTTCAGTTTAGCCAATTCATTAGAGAAAGAACAAATGACTTAAAAGGAATCTCATAGCAAGCAGGCAGAAGAGAAGAAGAACATGCCCCTCCCCCCCTGCAGAGAGAAGTGTTCTGATCTGGGGACACTAGAAGTCCTGCAGGGTGCACCGTGCCCTGTACCGTGCATTCTTGCAGGCGCGGGGCCTGGTGGGGCTTCCCTCTTCTGTGAGCATCAGCACAGCCCTGCCAGTGGTCAGGGATCACACCTGGCTGCAGTAATACCCAACAGACCATGTAATAATTCTTCCTCAGGTGACAGAACTTTAATGGACCTGACCCCAACAAAACAAACTTCGCTTCAGACTTGCCTGTGGGCCTCGGTAAATAGTTAACAGACTGTATCCCCCATTCTCTCCCCTGCCATTAGCCGAGGCTGGTACCGTAACTCACAGCTCCCCTTCCTGCCGTGAGCAGCACCTCTCACGGCCTGCTTCCCTGCATGGCAGCTCTTGGTCATGGCTTGTAGGAGCTGAGGATGGAAAAGAAGGGAGTGTAGGCAGTACTGGGGTGACTGCCCTTGACAAATGAAGGGACGATTGTTCATTTAACGTGAGAATGATAGATCCATTGAGCTCTTGATATGTGCCCAGCAATGTGCCAAATGCTTTCTGTTGATCATTTCATGTCATCCTGTCTTAGTCCATTTGGGCTGTCTTAGTCCAAAATGTCTTAGCTTGGTTGTTTATAAACAACGTAAATTTATTTCTCATGTTTCCAGAAGCTGGAAAGTCCAAGATCAAGGCTCAAGCAGATTTGATGTCTGGTGAAGGCCTGTTTCCTGGCTCACTGATGGCACCTTCTTGCTGCGTCCTCATGTACCGGAAGGGGCAAACAAGGTTCCATAGGCCTCTTTTATTAGGACACTAAGCCCATCACAAGGGCTCTATCCTCAGGACCTAGTCACCTCCCAAAGGCCCCTCCTTTTAATATCACCTTGGCGGTTAGGATTTTAACCTATGAATTTTGGGGGATCCAAGTATCCAGACCATAGCACAACCCAACAGCAGCTCTATGAAATAAGTAGATTTTTTTTTTACTACCATTTGATAGATGAGGAAACTAGGGGTTAAAAATGTTTGCCAGGAGTAGCAGAGCTAGTAATTTGGGAGTCTAGGCTTGGCTCATGTCTATAATCCTAGCACTCTGGGAGGTTGAGGTGGGAGGGTCCCTTGAGGTCTGGAGTTTGAAGTTGCAGCGAGCTTTAATGACACCACTGCATCCTAGCTGGGACTACAGAGCAAGATTCTGTCTCAAAAAAAAAAGAAAAAGGTCTAATTTCAAACCATAATGTTTTAACCACTGCCCTTTACTTCCTCTTCCCTCTTAGGGGCTGATATTTAGATATTTGAGCTTCCTTTTGAAGCCATCCTTTTCTTGGTTCTAAAAGCTGCCAGGTGGATTTAGATGGGACAAGTGCAATCACCTCCAGAGCACATACATGTTGGTTCCAGGTATACTGCTCTGTTCTTTCAGTGATTCTAAACAATTAGAATCATTGTTTTTCCCTGGCTCCTTTCATGATTTTTTCAATCATTGGTTTCTAGCACTTCAACCATAATATACTGAGGTGTGATTTTTATTTTGTATGTGTCCTGGATGGGATTTTTTTTTTTTTGTATGTGTCCTGGGGGGGGTTTTTTTTTTTTTTTTTTTGGGACAGAGTCTCACTTTTGTTGCCCTGGCTAGAGTGAGTGCCCTGGCGTCAGCCTAGCTCACAGCAACCTCAAACTCCTGGGCTCAAGCGATCCTCCTGCCTCAGCCTCCCAAGTAGCTGGGACTACAGGCATGCGCCACCATGCCCGGCTAATTTTTTGTATATATATATATATTTTTAGTTGGTCAATTAATTTCTTTCTATTTTTAGTAGAGACGGGGTCTCGCTCAGGATGGTTTCGAACTCCCAACCTCGAGCAATCCGCCCGCCTCAGCCTCCCAGAGTGCTAGGATTACAGGCGTGAGCCACCGCGCCCGGCCTTCCTGGATGGGATTTACTGAGATTTTTGAATCTATAAATTGATGTCTTCTATCACATTTAGGAAACTTTCAGCCTTTTTTTTCTCTCATATAACGATCCTGCACCACTCTTGTTCTTCTCTCCTTTTGGGACTAAAATTACATATCTGGTAGACTTTTCGATACTGTCCAACTGATCCCTGAGTCTCTTTTAATTTTTTCAAAAATTCTTTTCTTTGTTATTCAGGTTAAATAATTTCTATTGATATCTTCTCAAATTCACTGACTCTTCTTTCCTCTTCAGTCTGCTGTTAAATACATCCAGTGAATTGTTTCAGATTCTTTTAATTTTTTCAAAAATTCTTTTCTTTGTTATTCAGGTTAAATAATTTCTATTGATATCTTCTCAAATTCACTGACTCTTCTTTCCTCTTCAGTCTGCTGTTAAATACATCCAGTGAATTGTTTCAGATTCTTTTTAATTCTAGATTATCCATTTTTCTCTTTTTAAATAGTTTTTGTTTCTTTGGTTAGATTTTTTGTCTTTTATTTGCTAAGAATATACTTTCCTTTAGGTCCTTGAGTATAGTTATAATAGCTACTTAAAAACCCTTGTCTGCAAATTCCAGCAATTTTGGATTACCATGGGGTCATGGGGACAGTCTCCATAATTAATTTTTTTCTTGAGAATGGATCACATTTCCTGTAGGGTTTTTTTTTTTTTTGATTATTTGTTATATTGAGCTATTAATATTTTAAATTGCATTGTGGACATTGTGAATGATATTTTGCAAGCACTCTGAGTTTTGTTTTGTTCCTCTGAAGAGTACTGTTTTTTTGTTTCAGTAGGCAGGTGACTTAATAAACCAAAACTTTGAACTGTGTCTCCTTTGCATTGAGCAACAGTGGAAATCTCTCTTAATTCTTTTGGCTTTAACTTAGCTGCATGCAGCTTGGCTCAGGGTCACTTGTGACTTAGGGAGTGTTTATGCACAGAACTTGGGCCCCCCCCCCTTTTTTTTTATTTCTCTTTTCCAGATGTCTCCTTTCACTTTTAGCTGTTGTGTTGCCTTGATCTCTGTCATGATTCTTCAGTTCAGCAAGACCATGTGAGTTTTAGTGACCTGCATGGTGCAGACCTGGGCCTGCCCTTTGGCTAAAAATGACCCAAAGTAGGAACTTATTGAAGTGCAAGTTTTCTTTTTCCAAGTATTGATCTCACTCCAGGATGTCCTGCTTTTGGTCACTCTGGTGACTTGAGTTTTCTTTTTTTTCCTTGAATATTTTATCCAGAGTTTATAGTTGCTATCTAGCAAAGACCTACATCAGTAGGAACTACATGGCCATTGTTGGAAACAGAACTTCCTAGAAATACTGTCCTGGAATGGAAAAAACAAGCTTTGGAATCAGACCCAACCTGGATACAGAACCTGACTCTTCCTCTTAATGTCTGGGCCTTGGGGCCAAGTGCGGTGGCTCACGCCTATAATCCTAGCACTTTCGGAGGCCAAGGCTAGAGAATCACTTGAGGTCAGGAATTCGAGACCAGCCTGAGTGAGACTCTGTCTCTACAAAAAATAGAAAAATTAGCCGGGCATGGTGGCACATGCCTGTAGTCCCAGCTATTTGGGAGGCCGAGTCAGGAAGATCACTTGAACCCAGGAGTTTGAGATTGCTGTGAGCTATGATGACACCACTGCACTCTAGCTAGGGTGACAACAAAGTGAGACTCTGTCTCAAAAAATAAGTAAATAAGTAAATAAAGTCTGAGCCTTGGGAGTCTCATCTGTAGAGTGAGAAAACAGAATGTACCTTCTATGAGCTGTTGCAGTTGAGATAAATACATTAATGTATGTTAAGCACCTAGCACAGTGTAATCACCTAAAATGTCCTCACTAATTGTTGATCACTGCTGACTGTGCGGACAGCAGCAATGTTGGCATAAACCCTGTGTAGCAAGCATCATTTTACTTTTTACAAATAAGGACACTGAGGTTACCAGATGTTACAAGGGGCAATAGGAGGGGTATGTTTTTAAGAAGAAAATATACGTTACTGTTACCTTTGTACTTTATTGGTTGCTGTGTGTGTGTGTGGGGGGGGTGGATGCCTGTGTCAGGGTGGGGCGTAGGTAACTAGCTTAATATCCATATTGAGAGTGGGTGGCTCCTCATCACTGAAGAAGCTTAAAACAGGGAAGGGATGCCCTTCTGGTAGTCCTGCCTCCTAGGCAGAATAATGACCCCCAAAGATGTCCACGTTCTAGTCACTAGAATGTGTGAATATGTGACCTTACATTTCAGAAGGGGCTTTACAGATGGGATTCAGCTATGGACCTTGATGGAAAGATTATCTTGGATGGGTTTAATGTACTCATCAGCAAATTGGTATTAACTGATCAACACCTAACTGGACATATAGGAATAACATTTATCTGGTGTTGGGCAGGTGGGGGGAGGGGATGGGTATATACATACATAATGAATGCGATGCGCACCAACTGGGGGATGGGCACGCTTGAAGCTCTGACTCGAGGGGGGGAGGGGGCAAGGGCAACATACGTAACCTTAACATTTGTACCACCATAATATGCTGAAAAAAAAAGATTATCTTGGATCATTTGGATGAGCCCAGTGTAATCACATGGATCTTTAAAAGTGGAAGAGGGAGTCAGAGAGTTAGAGATGTGACGACAGAAACAGAGGCAGAAAGATGCTCTGTTGCTGGATTTGAAGATGGAGAAAGGAGCTACAAGCCACGGCATATGAGCTGCCTCTAGAAGCCAGACAAAGCATGGGACTGTGTTCTCTCTCAAGGCCTTGAGAAAGGAATGCAGCCTTAACAACATCTTAATTTTAGCTGAGTGAGACCGTGTGAGATTTCTGACCTCCAGAACTATAAGGCAACAAACGTGCGCTGTTCTAAATGACTGAGTTTGTGAAAATGGGTTTTGGCAGCAATCGTTACTATTGATGGAAGTTGGTATAGTGGTCAAGCTTGTGGACTTTGGGCCAGACTTCCTGGTTTGAAACCCCTGTGCTGTCATTTTTTAGCTGTGTGACTTTGGGGAAGTTGCTTCCCTTCTCTCGACCTCAGATATCTCATCTCTAAAATTGGATGACAGTGGTCTGTAACTCGTAGTTTTCTCGTAAAGATTAAATGAAGATTGCATACGTGTGAAATGCCTGGAAGCAGGTTTTAGCTACAGCCATTTAGGCTTCCGTTGCTGGGTATCTCAGAGAGGTGGATCAGAGTGCAGACCCGGGAGACAGACTGTCCAGCCTTCGATTCAGGCTCTGCTCTTAGCAGTTTGAAGCAAAGTAATTGTCTGTACCTCCATTTCCTCATCTGGAAAATAGAAGCAGGAGTCCCACGGTGGTTGATGGATCAGATCAGACCGTGAGGCCAGAGCTTTTTAGCAGGCGAATAACAGACGTGCCATGAAGGGCGGTTATTGTGGTCATTGAGTGGGCTGGGGTATGTCGGGCCTTAAGCCCTAGACATCGTGGATCAATTTGTTCTTCAGTTACCTTTGGAATAACATACGTACACTGGTTTGGGGAGACAGTGGCACCGTCCTATAGCTGTAACAGCACTTGGTACCTAGCAGGTGCTCAGCAACTGCTGAATGAGTGAATAAGGAAGGAACAGGCCTCAGGCCCTGGCCTAAGAAGCTCACAGTGAGCGCAGGGCAAAGCCTGGAGCCACGCCAGGGTTTTGTGGTTGTCTTTAAAAAGAAACAAAACAAAGAACTGTTTCCTACCAGCTGACCCTAAACCTCTCAGCCCTGCGGGGGAGCCCAGGCTGAGTGCCAGGCCAGGCCTTGCTGTCAGTTCCAGGGCCAGTGACGTCTCTTCTTTATAGTGGACATACCCCACCCTCCCCTCCCTCCCCTCCCAGGGCAGCTGTGGGAGCCCCGTGCTGTGGAAGGTCCCTGGTGCCCCTGGGGGGGTGGCATTCTCCTGGAGGTCTCCCTGGACTCCCACCTCATCTATATTCGGGTACTAGAGTTATGGAGAATTATTTTTAGTGAGTTCTTCTCTGACTGTGTTAGGGTCAAATATAAGGAAGGAAGAATGACTGACTACTCCTCTGGGCTTGTGATTGTGATAAGACTTTTTCTTCTTCCCTGTCGCAGGCTTGATCTCTTGACCAGAGGAGAGTAAAATGATGCCTCTTGCGATGGCCATGCCTGTCAGTTACATGGAGCTTCATTCAAGGATTTTCCGAGCCTGCTGGATTTACAGTGATATTTGGCCGTCTGGGGGATTAACGCTGGTGGAAGCATGCACTGGAATTACACATGCCCAGCACACTTCAGGATGCTGACAGTGGTTTTGCGGAAGGCCCTGGCTGAGTGCCTCGTGGATTCTTACAGCCTGATGCTCGTGGGGGACAGAGGTCCGCAGCCACCTGCGAGGGCTGAAGGTCTCTGACTAGGTCTCTGCCAGCTCCCTTTGGGGCATCCTACGAATGTGAGTCCTCTGTCTCCTGCTTGTCAGGCGTGTCATGCATGTTCTCTCCAGTGCTCACCTGGGCTTTCGGGGAGGCTGTCCTGGCTGGTGGTGGAGGGTTTGCTGGGGTGTGGCTGGTTGTCAAAGGAGCTGGTATGCAGTGAGCTCCCTCTGCATGTCTGGCTTGGTGCTGGTGCCTCTGGGAGACAGATGGAAATGGAAAGGTCCTTCCTGGGAGCTGCCCCTGTTCCTTGTGCTGACGTGTGTCATCGCACCTCTCACGGATTTTCCTGGTTCATGTATCTGTCCCCATCTACCTGACTGTCAGTGCCTTGAGGGCCCAGGCCTTTGCAGCATGGCTCCGTGTCTCTAAGACCTTGCGTGGTGCCTGGCATGCAGTCTGTTATGCTGCAGAAAGGATGGATTAAGACAGGAGGGTTAATGAATTAAGACACTGGGGAAGTGTTAATTCAATAGGGAAGATATGCATGGGGGGTGCGGGGATAATTTCTTGGCTCTGTGCTTAGAGCTGGGAGCCACATAAGACCATATGTATGGTTGGGGCTGTGAGGCTTGCATGTCAGCAGGTGCCCATGGAGCCAGACAGGCCTGGGTTTGAATCCTTAACCTGTACACCCCACGTGACCCCATGCAGGTGACTGCTGGGTTCCTTTCCCTTCCGTATACAAGCAAGGTGAGGTAAATACTATCATACTTAGTAGGGTTGGTGTTGAAGATCAACAAGCAGACACTGAGGTGCTGAACACAGAGCAGACACTCAGCACACGGCAGGGGCGATGTTGGCTGGGGACGGCCTCTGTGGCCAGTGGGCATTTCTTGGCGCTTGGCAATCTATCTGTGCAGGGCCTGGTAAGCAGTGCTGGACTTTAGCCTGGGAGCTGCTGGTTGGCATGGACAGTTGATTAGAGGTCATAGTCCCTGGAGCCCGTGGGAAGGCCGAGGGATGAGCTGCGGCAGGTGAGGGGAGGGAGCCTTGTGCCACCTGGAGGAGGAAGGGAGCAGCAGGTTGGCCACTGAGGCCTGTTCTGGTTCTGCAGCTGATGAAGAAAGATTTGGCCTCTTAGGTCCAGACTTGGTGGCTTAGGAGGCTGCTAACTCCAAGGGACATTTGCCTTAGCACTGAGGTGCCCAAAGGAGTGTTGCAGCTCAAACAGCAAGTGGCCCAGGGCTCAGTTTGCTGGGGCCACTTGGCATTTGGCTGCCAAGACCGTGCCTGGGGCAGGGCCTTGGGTCTGATTTCTATTGGGTTGCTAGTTCTGCTCAAGCCCGACGGGACTTCCTGACCTGATGTGGAGAACGTCCCTCTGGGTGTTAACATGCTGTTCTCATCCGCAGCTCCTAGAAGTATTATAATTTTATATTCATCTGTGCACATTATTTGATTTCATGTCTTTCTCCTGCATAGAAAGTCATCTCTTTGAGGTCAGGAAACACACAGGTCTTGCTCACAGGCTGGACACATAGTAGGCACTTTATTTGTTGCATCATAGTTGCCCTGATCAAATGGTGACTTTAGTGGTTTGCTTTTTTTTCAGCTTCTCTGACAAGGACAGACAAAAGGGAAGCATGCTCTTTTTGAGCATCTGTATAACTTAGCCCAGCAATCCTACTAGGTGGGCAATGGTTGAGCCTCTGAGGAGTCACATAACTTGCCCAAGATCGTTTATTCAGGAGAAGGTAGAACAGGAAGCTGAGGACCACTTGGCCTTGTCCACTGAGCCAGGCACTTCAGCTGAGGGAGGCTCCTTGTCTGCGGAAGGGTTGTGCGAGGGGTGCTGCTGCAGGCGCCGCGCTGTGCTCGCCATTCTGCGCCCACCCAGGGGCAGGCAGGGAGGGCTGCTCAGGACCTGGAGAGGTTCTCAGGGCCGGGAGATCTGGCTGGACTCACTGGGTGAGCAGAGCTGCCCTGGGACTGGAGGGGCCCAGTGACGGGTACAGAGGCGCCACGCTGCCCCTCACTTGGGCCTTCCCAGGTGTCTCCCACCTCTTCTTGCCAACCACCTCCCCCGCCCCCGCAGGGTGGCAGCTGCACCTCACTTATCACACGCCCCACAGCTCTGTGTTTTCTCCTTTTTATCAGCTGCTCCCTAGAACAACCCCATTGTGGTGGTCCGGGTTATCTCCTGCCCCTGGCGGCAGGGCCAGGGTGGGCTCTGCACCACGTGACACAGAGCGGTTATGGCGAGAAATAAAACTCCTGCCTGCCTGCCTGTGTCGGTGGGGAGGTTGCAGCCTGTGGACAGTGATGTAGTACTTATCACCAATTATTATGACATGCTCTGTGCTGACACCTGGCAAACTCTTTCATTCAAACCTCAAAACGGAGCTATGGGGTGGGCACTATTATTGTTATCTGTTTTGTTGTTCAGGTAACTGGAGCACAGAGAGGGAAAGCAAGTATCCGCAGGGAACACAGGCAGGATTTGAACATAGTGTGGTCTGACTCCAGAACCCCTGGTCAGCATTGCCTGGAGCTGAGAGAAGCAACTGCTTCCTTGTTGGCCCCCACCCAGTGCCTGTGTGACCTTGGGCAAACCACTCCTCTTCTCTGGGCCTTAGTGCATTCGTTCATTGGGAGACTCTCTAATTTCTCCTTTAAGTTGGGACGCTCAGGAGTGAAAGGGGCACTGTGACACTTACTCTGGGATACAGGTGTAAATCACGATGTGTCTGCCCAAACCAGAACCAGAGGTCTCCAGCTTTATCAGTCAGATGGTCAGCAGGTGCTGGTGCTGTGGGTGCTGTTGGTGCTGGTGCTGCAGGCGCTGGTGGTGCTGGTGCTGCAGGCGCTGGTGGTGCTGGTGCTGCAGGTGCTGGGGGTGCTGGGCTATGGGTGCTGGTGCTGGTGCTGCAGGTGCTGGTGCTGCAGGCACTGGTGGTGCTGGTGCTGGTACTGTTGGTGCTGGTGCTGCTGGTGCTGCAGGTGCTGGTGCTGCAGGCGCTGGTACTGTTGGTGCTGGTGCTGCAGGTGCTGGGGGTGCTGGGCTGTGGGTGCTGGTGCTGCTGGTGCTGCAGGTGCTGCAGGTGCTGCAGGTGCTGGTGCTATTGGTGTTGATGCTATAGGCGCTTGGGGTGCTGGTGCTGTGCTGTTGGTGCTGGTGCTGCAGGCACTGGTGGTGCTGGGGCTGTTGGTACTTGTGCTGTAGGCGCTGGTTTGCTAGTGCTGCAGGTGCTGGTGCTGCAGGTGCTGGTGGTGCTGGTGTTGTTGGTGCTGGTGCTGCAGGAGCTGGTGCTCAGGTGCTGGTGCTGCAGGTGCTGGTGCTGTTGGTGCTGTTGGTGCTGCTGCTGCAGGCACTGGTGGTGCTGGTGCTGCAGGTGCTGGTGCTGTGGTCACTGGTGGTGCTGGTGCTGGTACTGCGGGTGCTGGTGCTGGTGCTGTGGGTGTGGTGCTTCAGGTGCTGGTGCTCTTGGTGCTGGTGCTCTAGGCACTGGTGGCGCTGGTGCTGTTGGTGCTGGTGCTGCAGGTGCTGGTGCTGTTGGTGCTGGTGCTGTTGGTGCTGGTGCTGCAGGTGCTGGTGCTGCTGGTGTGGGTGCTGCAGGTGTGGGTGCTGCTGGTGCTGATGGTGCTGGGCTATGGGTGCTGGTGCTGGTGCTGCTGGTGCTGCTGGTGCTGGTGCTGCAGGTGCTGGTGCTGCTGGTGTGGGCGCTGGTGCTGCAGGTGCTGGTGCTGCTGGTGTGGGCGGTGGTGCTGCAGGTGCTGGTGCTGCTGGTGTGGGCGCTGGTGCTGCAGGTGCTGGTGCTGCTGGTGTGGGCGCTGGTGCTGCAGGTGCTGGTGCTGCTGGTGTGGGTGCTGGTGCTGCAGGTGCTGGTGCTGCTTCCTGGGTCCAAGGCAGCCCCTTTCATTTTCGTGAACAGTTTGCATTTCTGGTTACAGTACAGGAGCCTGCTGGCCTGATCTCCCCTCACATGTCTGTCTTCAATAGCTCAGAAGAACCCATTTCTCTCCAAGCCCTGTTATCCCTTCCTGTTGGTAGAGCAGGCCTGACCTGTGTTTGTTTTCACTTGGTGATTGACAGCATGTGCTTCAGTCCTAAGGCTGACCTTCTACCCCCACAGACACCCCAGCCAGGTTCCTGGAGATGGCCTAGTACCCTGGGCCCGTTTCCCACACAGTGCCCAGACCCCCTGGGGGTCTGCACAGGCTGCGGTGAGAGGGCTGTTGTGACTTGCTGATTCTCCAGGGTTTCTCAGTGAGCAGCCCTAGGGTTGCTTAAGAGCTGGTGTTTATGAATGCCTGGAAAATATGCCTGGATAACCTTGCAGTCTGGCGAGGGAAGTGTGGCCCCCTTTTGTGTATGAGCAAACTGAGGTTCAGAGAGATCCAAATGCTGCTGCAGTAATGTCTGGAGAGAACAGAGAAGCTGGTGTCTGTGCTTGAAGCTGTTAGCCTCAACACCCCTCCTCCTGCAGAGCTCGTGTTTCTCAAAGTGTGCTGATGAGTGGTGCTAGATGATTTTAGGTTATAGACATGCATGCTTTTTAAAAATTGTTTTATGTTTAACTTTCATTAGAAAAAGACCATAATTGGCACATGAGACCTATGATTTTGCAAATATTACTGGTTAGGATGTAGATATTTAAGTTAAGAAAAGGTGAACTTTGCAAAAATACTACGTTAAGGACAAGTGGACCTAGCTCTCCTGAAGGGACTAAAGTTGGCGTGCAGGTCCCCATTTTGATTTGTGGTGCTCTGGCTGTGTGACTCTGGCCATGGCATTAGAGGCAGTGGCCCTGAGCCAGTCATGTGAGCAGCTCTGTGTCCGACATCGTGTCAGCAGTGGCTTCAGCTCATGGTGAGCCTCCTTAAATCCCGAAGATTCATGATGAGGTGACTGCAGTTTGTTCTGAAGACAATAAGAATCCCAGGACAGCAGCACTTTATAATCCCATAATTCTGCTCAAATCGACTGTGGCTGCTGATCTCGGCCCTGCCGACTCCATTACATTCGTTGAGCACCCAACATTTTCCAGTTAACCCCTGTATTACTCCCTGAGATCGA